TTAGCACTGAGTCAACTCACTGTTTCTGTTTTTAAGTTTGGTCTAAAACTCAACTATTTTAATACGTGCTTTTTTTTTTTTTTTTGGCCAAGACAAAGAAACGTCTGGACACCTCCGTGTCTGACGCCCTCAGACACAGCGGCAGCTTCGAACCAGAGTTTGTTTTTCTTCTGAGACATTGTCCAGTAGTGAGTGAGTGTGTCCATCATCTGGACCCAGAGGGCAAGGGGTCAATGCCTGCGACTCTGGGCCTTCAGACATCAAACTCTCAAATGACTGCTTTCCACCCCCCCCACGCCCCTCCTTCCTCCCACTGAGGGTGACGTGTTTCTCATTTTACACATCATTACATTGGTTCTGTCTTTATAGCTGCCAATCAGAGGAGGAGGAGGTTAAAAGAGGAGGAAGAGGCTCCTTTTAGAAGTCACATGGAGCTGCAGTGGCACTGTGTGTGTGTGTGTGTGTGTGTGTGTGTGTGTGTTACCTTGTGTACAGCAGACAGAGTCATGTCATCTAGGTTCAGTTTTCCATTAATTTCGGTGGCACACATCTGTTTCCATGGAGATCTTTTCTCTGGTCCTGACAGAGAACGCTGACACAACAGACGACGCCACGACTTCAGAAGCTTCGTTCAAATTCATCCAGTCATACTATAACTCTTTTTTTTTTTTAAACAGTTTCAACAGTGTGTGAATTCTTTTATCCATGTCTGTCACGTTGTTGGGCAGTTTATGGTAACTTTTAGGTTTGTAACCTTTTCAGGTTTGTTAGTTAGAATTTACTGGTTAACTTTCTATACTCAGGTCACAAACTTTATTTTAAACAAAACTTATTAAAATGTTCGAAATTTTTTTTATCCCAATTCAGCAACAACTTTGAACTTCACTAAATTCTACGTCTATCATCTAACTGGAACTACACTTTTTAAAATCTTTTAAAACCTCATATGTTCACAGATGTATTTTATATTACCGGTATATTAGTGTGTGTGCGTGTGTGTGTGTGTGTGTGTGTGTGTGTGTACCATATCACCGTCTTTGTGGTGAAGACAGTATTTCCTCACTGCCTCTCTGTACGTCTGGAAGCGCAGAGGAAGACAGTTGTTCTTTGGATCTGTCGCCTCCTCTCGTCCATTCATGTTTTCACTCCCTCCTTCAGAACCAATCTCCTGTTCAGATGGCGCTCCTCCTCCTCCTCCTCCTCCCTGCTCCTCCTCTTCTTCACTTTCTTCCTCAGTGGTGTTGTTAGGAACCAGAGAGGTGACGTAGACAGGCTGAAGATACAACAGAGACTGGAGAGTTGGTGCATACACACACACACACACACAAACACACACATATATATATATATACACAGCTATAAATATACATGTTTATATATTATATATGTACACACATACATATATAAATACACATATATCTATTTTTTGTTCCACTTTGACTCAGTTGACGTACAAATCTTCTGTCCTTTAATGCTTTTTGATATGAAGGTGGACAGAAACTGATGTGAGGTACGATTCCCAGGATCACCTCACCCAGAGCATCTGCTGACATCACACAGTTGGTCCAATCAGAGTGGGACATAGACTGCAATGGAAAAAGAAATGGACCAATCAGCAGTTAGCTTCTCAGAGCACGTGGTCTGTGATGAGCATCTTTACACACACACACACACACACACACACACTAGAAGGCCTCACCCAGACACTGCCAGTCCTGGGAACAGCAAAGACTGAGTTCAGGTGATGGTCAAAGTAATGGACTCCCTGTGAGCCCTTCCTGTGAAAAGTAAAGGGTTCAAAGGAAACGTCACGTGACTCACGGGTCCATTTCCAGTCTGGCTCAACATGATCCTCTAACATCGTCCGTATGTTGACAGTGAACTTGACCTCGTGGGAAGAAGATGAATAAATGGTAGTTCCTAAAGTAAAGAAACATGTTTTCCTTACGGTACGTAGGCGATATCCTGAGCTATAAGGAGCCCTGGAGCGTTCAGGGGCCAGCAGATTTCATTGGTCAGGTATCTCTTCTGGACCGTGTTTGGACCGTCCAGCCTGCGTAGATCCCATGTCTTGATGTAACGGTCTTCTCCTGCGGTGGCCAACAGGTGTCTGGGACAGAGGGCGTTATGAAAGGTCAGTCAGGTGGTCATCAGTGGAACACTTCTGTCAATAAAGTTCACTTTTTTATAGAAAAAGTTTTCATTCACAGTTAAGTTCAGTTTAAACCTGTCAGTTCCTACACACCTTCTGAGAAATCAGTGGTTCTCAAACTATGGTTCACGCACCATATGTACCATAAAGTGGTACTTGGGCTCCCTCTGGTGGTACGCATGGTATCCTGTCACTGATATTCCAGCTGTTTGATGGGTATTTCTGTATTTTTTACAGCCTTCTTATAAAAAAAACCCAGAAACTTCTACTGTAACTTGGATATTAAACCAAATGTTGTCTCCTAGTCCAACAGCGAGTCATAATAATAAGACGGTGTTGACTTTACCTGGAGGCTGGACAGAAGGTCAGGGACCGGACACTGTGGTCATGGGCCAGCAGGCAGCGATAGGGCAGCAGACTCAGAGACTGGTCCGACTCTCTGACTTGTAACAGTGAAGACTTAGTGGTCAGATCCCAGAATCCAACTCCACCTGGACACAGAGGAAAAGGACCTTTTCTTTCTGTCTCACACACACTCAGGTCCACTCAGGTCCTGGACTCTGGATCCAGAATCAATCAGAAAATCTCTTCATACCATCGTAGAATCCAACAACAATTACATTGTGTGGTTTTTGGGGCAGCCAGTCCATGCACAGGACTTGTCCACTTTGGTCTTGGCGAGGACATTTCAACGAGCCCATCTTTAGGGTGACCACGCCCTCTGTCTGCACAAGAACCAAAAAACCAAACACAATAAATCTTCAGTAGGTGTAACAGCTTCATTTTCTGTCTTAAGGATTTCCAGCCAATCGTACGAACAAGAGAACCGTCCTCAACAACCTGGAACATTCCCACAAACCCTGGGCTGAATTTTACTCATGAATTAAAATGTGGTTTTCGTCCTTCAGAGCCTGGAGGTTGACCCAGGTGGCTGCGCCTCCCAGTGGCTGAGACTGGCGCTCTATGAATAAGAGGCTGAGGCGTGACTTTAGGAGGCTGTGTAGAACTGATGGAAACAGTTGGATGTTGTTGAGAATGATCTTCTGGTTCTTTAAAAGTTCTGTTTGAAAGTAGGTGGAAACAGCTGCTGACCTTGTATATTGGTAATTCTTGGACCTTTTTTCCTGTGAAATAAAAAAAGTTAAATCAAAAACTGGAGGAAACTTTTTTTTTTTAATCTCATGTGATCTTCAGTCAGGTGTTGTGGTCCAGAGGCGGCTGACGCACTGATGGAGATGGACTGAACCACAGGCTCCACCATCCATCATGTCAGTGTGTACTCAGCCTTCTGAAGTCTAGTGGGCTGCGTGTGTGTGTGTGTGTGTGTGTGTGTCTGATGAGTGGTGAACTACTGCCGTTAACCAGTAGATTGACTCTCACACTCTGGTACTGATATCCAAGAAACAAAAACAGGTCAAATTCTCTGACATTAAACACATGTAAAATCAGGCTCTTAGAATCTGTTTTCCTGGTTTCTAATTCCTGTTCCTGTTCCTGGTATCACCACACCACTGCAGCCCTGTGTCCATGCGTTAGAAAGACAATACTGCCCCCTTTTGGACACCAGAAGCAAGCCATGGTCTGGGTGCGTCTTCTAACAGAAACCTTGGCACCTCTGTGTCCAGTCTGTGTGAGAAGAAGATAAAACCATCTCAGTCCCACCACTTGGTTTCATTTGTCTTACCAGAGCGCTGGAGGTTCTTGCTGGTGTTCAGGGCGTCAGGGTGGGGGAGGCTGTAGATGGTGACCACACCTGTGGAGCTGGAAGCTGCCAGCAGACCCAGCCGGGGCAGGAAAGGAGCCTGTGAAGATGAGTGACATCCTGGGTATGGACTTTGTTGAAGTGGGTGGTGTCTCTCTCTGAACAGTTCAGGACAGACATGTGCAGGTCTGTGATCTGTTCTGTACATCCCTCTGATAAAGACACTTCTTCTGTGATAAGATCCAGCTCTAATGAGGACCTCCAAATATGTTGTGAATTATGTGGCTGTTAGACCAAATCAAATACAGGATTTTGTTCTAACTCTGAACTCCTAAAACCAAACTATTCTTTGTGGAATGTTTTGTCATCATTTTTACCTTTCTCCCACAGCTGGGGAGCTCCCACGCTCCTGCAGGACACCACTTCAGAGTCCAGGTGAAGCCGTGGTCGTGGGCCAAGCCGTAGGCCAAGGTGGGCAGGGAGTCTGGGCTGCAAGACAACTGAGAATAAATCCAAAATGACACCAGAATCAGCCCTAAAACAACAAACAAACCATGAACATTGTTCAGGTACCACTGGTTGTACTCCAGTTTGCCCACGTCCCACAGCTGAATAAGTCCTGGTCCACTGTACATCTTGTGGACATGGTGTAGGTCGTCCATGCCCTGATGACAGGCCACAGCAACGTACTGTGTGGCAGCGGCACCATCAGGCGTAGGACACCACTCCATGGCCCAGACCGGGCCCCCAGTGTACAGGGACATGTCCCAGCGTTCAGGGTGGGCGTCAGTGGCTTCAAACCTGCTCCAAAAAGGCAAACACGAATGTTTCCTTAAACACTACGACAGAAAATACCAGCTGTGAGCTGAAATGATGTTGTTACCTGTCGAGGGTCTTCAGAGGCGTCTCCTCCTCACTGAGGCCTTCTCTGGTCACCTTGAACTCTGCAGACTGAAGCTGCTGAGGCAGGTGTTTGTCCAAATCACTGATGAACAGGTGGAAACACAAACATAAAAGTGATCATTCACTCACAGAACAAATATCTCATGGATGTCATCACAGATATACAGTATGTTTATGAGCCACTGTCATATAAATGAGCAGTGTCAGTGTGTACTTTTGAAAAGTACCTTTGTGGAACCAGGAGCCAGTGGTTGGAGGAGGGGACCCACTCAGGAAACTCCCAGCTGCTGTAGTACTGCTCACGACTTAACAAGAAAAACCAACACTTTTATATTAAAAAATAATGAATTATTAAATCATTATTCAAACTAATCATTTTTATGTTCCATCTGTAGAAACCCAACGTTTGCAGTATTTCATTTACTGTGCGACAGGAATACAGTAAAAACTCACAACTTCCTCGTGGTCTCGGTGGCGTCCCAGACCACGTTCATGACGTTCATTACGAGGCCGTTCTGGGCTTTGCCTTTAGAACCAACACCTAGGCTCTAAAGGGGAAAGGGCAGTTTTCAAGTAAAGACTTATTTTGTTCATAAGTTCCAATCTCAGTTTTCATCTTTTTTAATTAGAAGAAAGTACTTGCATTTCTGTGGTTTTTGATGAGCAAAGATGATGAACGTCGTACACCTTTCCCAGAGTCATAGTCCAGATCCAGGTGCTCAGGCTCCTCCTCGCCTCCCGTCTCCTCAGACTCCACCTCATCTTCCCCTTCAGCTGTTGGTACAAAGTCCTCGTCTTCATCGTCCTCAGAATCGTGTCTCTTACGTTTCCTCCCTCTACGTCCTGGAGAAATATAGACAAAAATGTGTTGTTTTCTTGTTTTTGTGTCAGGTAGAAACAACGGAGGAAGAAATAAACCTCAGTAATGAACCACAGGGGGTAAGTAGGACTAATTAAAGGGCAGTTTCAAGAATCTGACCAACAACTGAGGGTTTTGGCAGATGTAGCTGAAATGTTCCGCCAAACTTTAGCATAAAAGTAGCTAAATGTTGGGAAAGAACTTTGAAAGTTTTGAAAAAGAAACATTTTCTCATTAAAGAACACAAACACTGAGTCTAGATATTTATTAGCCAGAGCAGGTGGAGACTTTAGTCTTTCTGTTCTGTTCTGTTCACAGATCCACATGTTCAAAATCCTGGTCTGTCCCTTCAGAGTCATGGAGCTGAGAAGCAGTGTGTGAAGATTTCCACTCCACCTGTGCTTCCTTTGGCTCGTTTTTCTGTCGACACTGGGTCTGGAGTGACTTCATTGGTACCAGGGTCGATCTCATCGGTGGTTTGACCAAAAACCTCGTTAGCCAGGTTCTGTAGGTACTTCAAGGCCCTGGAGGACATTTTGGAGATTACGTTTTCGTGCTGGGATTAGAGGAAAAGTCAACAGTGCTGCACCACTTATGTAGCTAAATATAACAGCAGTAAGAGCTAAAGGGTAACAACAAAGATACTAGAGCAGTTACACAAAATTATTAAATACATATATTAAGTGACTGAGAAATGAAACAGGTCTTTTACTTTGATTGTACTTAAATATTGTACAGTGACTGAGAAATGAAACAGGTCTCTTACTTTGATTGTACTTAAATATTGTACATTTTATTGAGGTTTACATTTTTGCGGCGCTCCTCCTTCGTCGACCTCCGGGCTCCACCTCCTCCTCCTTGTCAGGTTGGACACTTTGCTCCTCACTCTGTGTTTCTGTGACAGGTGGTTCCGTCTGTAAGGTTTTCCTCTTGGTGTACTTCCTCTTTGGTTTTGGTGTTCCATTCTCCTGCTGCACACAGTCCACGTGTCCACTTTCTCCACCAGGGACTGGAAGACCTGCGTCAACATCGGCAGATTTCCCAGCAGGAGTTGTTCTCCCGGCAGGACTTTTTCTCCCGGCAGGAGTTTTTCTCCCAGCAGGAGTTTTTCTCCCTCGGGTCTTCCTCCCTCTTTTGGAGGTTTTCTTTTCTGAGTTTTTTCCATCGAGCTCCTGAGGTGTTAGTTCTGCTGCTCCCTGTTCTCCATCGACAGGCTGCTGTGTAGCATGTTCTGCTGCTTTGACTTTGGCAGGTCTTCCTCGCCTGGAGTGGACTCGTGGAGATACTTCCACTTCATAATCAGAGTATTTGGGGTTCTTCCTCCGCTGTCGTCCCCTGGAACTGGTCGTTTGGACCTCCTCCACTGACGGCGTCTCCTGCTCTGTGAAATGAAATTGTGGCGTCCGCAACATTACTGAATATAGAAGTAAAACAAGATACAAGTATTTACATCTGCCAGAAGATTAACCTCAAATAAAGACATCCAAACAGAAAACCTCACTTGTCACTTGTGTGTGTATATATATATACACACACACAAACATATTTATACAAGCATACATGTACGTAAAGATCACCCTTGACTTGACTTACATTACTGTATAGATAGTATTAACACTAGTCCCTTATTCAGTTATAAATTATTTATTCTAATATATAGAGTATCTATCACTTCTGCACTTCTGGTTATATTAAAATACATCAATTAAATTAAATCCACTGCAAGTATATTAAGTATGTATATCATTAGGTGTGTGTAGAGGTATGTGGGCCAGTACCTGGTTCAGAGTCCATAAGCTCTGGGTTTCCGGTGCTACCTGGTCAGATGCCTCTTCATGTGTAAAGCTGGTTTTTTCCCCCAGCTTTTCTGCAGCTTTACATATAAAAAAAGGGGGAAATAAAATCAGTAAATAATGGAAATATATTAAAAATGTCTCATGAAATCATATCTAAAGCCTTTTGAACAACAGGTCTTTTGTTAATAACTTAATAATTGAATCAGTGTGTATGTATCCAGCCTGGAACAAAAATATGACAAGTCAGTGAATAGCTCTTAAGTGAATGAACCCAAACAGTAAATTTGACTTATATATGTATGCATTCACTGTAGCTATGAACGACTGGCCAACTATTTAATGACCAAACCTCGTTGGAAAAACGACATCTTTACTTCTAAATCCCGTAGTGAACGCTGTGTGATGAGTATTTTTAACAGAACAAGTTGGACTTTTAATAAGTATAAGTCAATTGTCGGTTCGGAATACATTATATTATTAAACTTCTAAGTTGTGCTCGAAAGTAGTCACAGGTGCGCGCCTACGACGCACCTGTGACGACTGTGACCAACCACCCGAACCTCGGTTAAATGTGACATATTTTACCGTTTGTTCTCGTACTTAATTTACGTCACGTCATACACACAGGACAGTTTGGGCTCTGAATTATTATAACTTATTTGTAAATTCTGCTATTTAGTATGAAGAAGAAAAAAACATTTTTTAAGTTTTTAAAAGTACCAAAAAAAAAAAAACCTACAGTATGTTTGTTTTCCAGTAACTCTCACCTCCGTCCAGCCACGCTTATGGAGCTAACACACATTGCTAATGCTAATAGCTGTAAGTCAGCAGGGAATGAAACACTGTTTTTACTGTTATTAAATACACTTGTATATTCACTTCTTTAACAGAAGTACCGTCATGTGTTATGGTACCATTAAAAACTCACCCTGAGAAGCAGAGGAGCTCCCTCCCCTCGGTGGCGAAGGCTGAAAAAGCGTCGATAGAAACCGGGAACAAGACTCCGGTCACTTGGTATCGAATCCCACAGTCAGCGTCACAAAACGTAGCAGTAGAGGCTCACGGGAGTCATACAGACATTACCGGTACACACGCCTGGACGTAATTATTTCATAAACCGTGAGCTGAACACATCATATGCGCTGTTTGTGTATATTCGGGTCCAGATAATGTAACGTTCTGCCTTCGTCAGACCGCCATGTTTTAATAGACATGCTCAGTGCTCCACACTGCCCCCTGACTGCGGAGTGAGGGACAACGACGCAATCTTTCATCAGAAGTAAAAGACGGTTAAATATCCAACTGAATATAATTGATGGAAGTGTAGTAATAGTGCCTGTTTTCCGCGCTAGTTTACATTAAACATTTGGTTACTTTTTATTTTTTCTTGGAATATTAACAAAATCAGGTAAAACCAACTTCAGTTGGAGTTTTTACTATGCAATAGCTTTTTCACATTTGAGACAAATTATTTTTTAAGGCTCGATGAACCTTATTTTAAATATGTTTTTATAATTCTATGTCTGGCTAATTTATGGCTAGCCCTGAGCTAATTCAGCCTTTTGCTGTATTTACATCAATATTTCCCTTATTAAGGCTATATTTATTTAGTAGTTTTGGCTAGTGTTTGCTACTCTTTTCAGTTAGTCTATCTTTGTTTTAATACAAACATCTCTATTAATAAAACACTCAAAATACAATCAGACAGAGAATATACTGTATTTTTGCGCACAGATTCACAGATTAAAGGGTCAGTCGTTAAGACTAGAAATCTGTCTCTCTTCATTAAAGTGAAGACACGGACGGAATAGGAATACATTTCTAAAAGGAACTGGAGAAAAAAAAGATTACAAAGTAATGACGTCGGTCTGTCAGCCCACGTCACTGGAGTCGATATAGAGCGCAGACGACATGAACATTAGGCTACGTGCTACTGGTTCAACACACTGTCCGACAACTGGGATTGTTGGAGGAGAACTGAGGAAAAAAACCCTAACATCTTTTAACTT